TCCTCTGTGCCTTTTAGGAGATGTTTGGGAGCATGTTCCACTCAGAGACCCAGACAGCTCTGTGAGCACAGCGGGCATTGGGCAGACCCTGCAGAGGAGACTCCTCCAGACCCTCCAGAGGAGATTCCACTCTCCCACCCCTCCATGGAGAGCTGTGCTTCTACCTGGGGATGGAACAGGTTTGCAACGAGGCCATAACCCTCCAGAACTGCCAGATCCTCCCTGCTCTGCTCATGATAAACCCTCCAGAGGAGATTCCTCCAGACCCTCCAGAGGAGAATCCTCTCTCCCACCCCTACATGGAGATCTGTGTTTCTACCTGGGGATGGAACAGGTTTGCAACAAGGCCATCACCTTCCAGACCTGCCAGATCCTCTCTCCTCCATGCTCTGCTCATGGCTGACCCACCAGAGGAGACTTCTCCACACCCTCCAGAGGAGACTCCTCTCTCCCACCTCTCCATGGAGATCTGTGCTTCTACCTTGAGTTACAAGCGGTTTGCAACAAGGCCATCACCGTGCAGACCTGCTAAATCCTCCCTGCTCTGCTCGTGGCAAACCCTCCAGAGGAGAATCCTCTCTCCCACTTCTCCATGGAGATCTGTGCTTCTACCTGGGGATGGAACAGGTTTCCAATGAGGCCATCACCTTCCAGACCTGTCAGATCCTTTCTCCTCCATGCTCTGCTCATGGCTGGCCCACCAGAGGAGACTTCTCCAGATCCTCCAGAGGACACTCCTCTCTCCCACTTCTCCATGGAGGGCTGTGCTTCTGCCTGGGGTTACAACAGGTTTGCAACAAGGCCATCACCGTGCAGACCTGCTAAATCCTCCCTGCTCTGCTCGTGGCAAACCCTCCGGAGGAGAATCCTCTCTCCCACTTCTCCATGGAGATCTGTGCTTCTACCTGGGGATGGAACAGGTTTGCAACAAGGCCATCACCGTGCAGACCTGCCAGATCCTCCGTGCTCTGCCCGTGGCACTCAGAGCAGAGCACTCTGAGCAGGCAGAGCCGGCTGGGGCAGCAGGAGCTCAGCAGATGCCATCTGGTGGATTCTCAGCTGGAGGGGACATTCAGCCACCCTTTTGTCCCTCACCATCCTCCTGCCCCGGTGGAATTACACCTCCTGGCCGTCCTGCTCCTCGCCTTTCCCTCCTCCCTGTCTCCCCCAGCGAGTGAAACACAAGCAAACCCTGAGAGCCTTTCAGGAGGTGTGGCAGGGCAGCTGCTGCTCTCTGATGTGCACTGAGCCCCGAATTCCCCTGCGTGTCTCTGCAGCCTCTGCCTCTCCTCTTCTGTGTCCCAGCATCCCAAAAAACACTGCCTCGGACCAGTGGCACCCCAAAGACCTCTCTCAGCAGGGCTAAATTCTGAAATATATATATATTTTCTTACTAATAGGACAGGTTTGTACTCAGAAATAAGAATTATGTGCACCTTGTTCTGCCTGCCCAGTGGGTTGAGTACATGAAAACAGATTTTATTTTAAAATTCTATTTCTATTTTAACACTCTAAAATATTACAAACATAAGCGAGCTTTAGTGTGTGGTTTTGAAGTACACAGACATTATTGAGCTGATTGCTGAAGGCTTCCTGGGCCTTTCCTGCAGCTCTCAGATGTCTCATTTTTAAGGAAAATAGAGTTTCCTGAACCATCCTTGCTAGACAGCCACTGAAGGAAACAACAGCAGTAGCCTGCCAGTTTGGTTTTATGTAACATCTCAATTACCAAGCCACCATTTCTCTACCTCAATTTCTGATTATGTGGTGCAGGAGAGTAATAAAACCAAAGGAGGGCAGAAAACCCCGCTAGCTGATGATTTTGACTTATTTTAATCTTAGACAACACTGGTTTCTCCAAAAATCTCTATTGTTTTACAAGGTAAAAGCAAGAGATGAAGTCTCTTAAATTGTCTTTGAGAGTGATTCCTCATGGCCTTTTGTACTGCCTGAGTGCTTCTTTTAAAAAGTGCTAATTTGGAAAGAAAGACAATGAAGAAAATGCTGCAGAGCAACAAGAAACTGTCCTGATCAATGTTTTTGGGTCTCTGAGGTGGCATCAAATTAAAAAAGGGAAGTTCCAGTTCCCAGCTCTACATTCAGGATTCATTACAGGAGGTTGATTTCCCAGCCTGGGGTCTGACAGGAAAATGCAGGAATCCTCAGAGCAGAGGCATAAACCAGATTGTATTTCCTGAACTTCCTACAAAAATGGGATGGGATGTCACGAGAAATGGCTCAGAAAGAGCAGAGGTGGCTCTCCTGCAAATCATGACCCAGGCAAAAGGAAATCCCATTTCTGTGGCCAAATTCTGGGCCAGTTCTGGCAATAAATGTCACACCAGCAGGTAAATGGCACTGCTGGAGGCACAATGTGGCCAAAGTCATAATTCCCAAGTGCCTGGGCAGAGAATTAGGGGAGCTCATAGTCACGCTGGTGAAATATTTTCACTTCCAGTCAAATATTCCTGTTATTGCTCTTAAGTAACAGTGAGGTTGATGTGTTTTGGCTCTGAAGCCTTACTTGGTAAATGCATGATGTATAACCAGCTCAGAAATGTTTGTAATTTATTTAATTTAATGTTGGTTTCATTCTTCTTCTTTTTTTTTTTTTTTTGATAATAAAGAATGTGTGAACAATCATTGTCATCTTCTGCTGACTCGGGGGCAGGATTACAATGGCTGCTCCCATCTGGTCTTTGGCATCCTGGGACAGTTTGTGCCATGGGATAAATCTTCACGTTTAGTTCAGAACAGCTGTAAAGAAGGGAATAAGAATTCCATCTTGCTAGCTGGTGGGATCAAGGAAAGAAGTGAAATATTTTGAAAAGCAGGTGGATTTAATTCTGTCAGGAGTGGGGCTGCACAACACAGAGACTCCCTGGCATCCTTCTGCCTCCCTTGCGGCCGCAGTGAGCCTGGGGTGGTTATTCCCCACAGGAATTCCTTTTATCCCCATCCTTTTGGGAGCAGCA